CTAAAACATGAAAACACATTAACAATTTTTAATTGAAAAACCCCTTAATGGAAAAAGAGTCTCCAATAAAAATCTCAAATAGTGTTTTCAATTAGTCAAACTAACTAAGCATAAATATTTACAATTGAGAACAAAGAAGATGAAAATTCTCCAAGATAGAGTTGTATGCAATACTGTTTTCTCCCAACCTAGACCTCTAATTGACGATCTGAACGGTTAAAATGAAGAATCATACGTCTATAACCCACTATCCAAAAATCAACTTAATCCAACAGTGAACGACTTCACAACAATGAAAACACCAATTAAGACTTTTTGTTATGCAGGAAAGACTTTTTCTCATCATTTCTCTTTCACTTGGTTTTTCTCTCTCTTCAAATGACTTTACTTACTAATTTGACCACTCTCCACTAAAATAAAGTAAGACACAATGGTCTATATCATTTGGACTTATTTTCTTCGTAAGAAGGGAGCCCCAATAACCCACAAATTTCTCCCTCACATCTGCCAATCGGCGATCTCACAACAAGCTTCAAACTTTCCTCTTTGCAATGTCTTGGTCATCATATGAGCACCATTATCATCTGTATGAAATTTAGTTAATTCCAATAGCTTAGCATCCAAAACATCATGTATCCAATGATACCTCACATCAATATATTTGGGATTTAGAATGAACAGTTGAATTCTTACGAAGATGGATAACACTTTGACTAGTACAGTACAATATAACGAGTATTTTCCTTGCACAAAACCAAGTTCCTACAAGAATTTCTTCATCCATAAAAACTTCTTACAAGTTTCGGTAAGTGCAATGAATTTTGCCTCAGTAGTAAACAACACTACATACTTTTACAACTTTGATTGTCAAGCCACAACTTCATCTACAAACTGAACCAAATAGCCTAAAGTGGACTTTCTGGAATCAATGTCTCCAGCCATATTTAAATAAAATAACCCACTAAAGTAGGCTTATCACTTTGAAAACAAAGACTCAAATCACTAGTACCACAAAGATACCTCAAAATTCATTTCACAATATTTCAATGTTCTCTACATGGATCTGACAGAAATCTACTAATTGTACCAACAATATATGAAATATCTCACCTTACACGTACCATTGCATACATCAAACTACCCGCTACATAAACATAAAGAAGTTTCTTTGTATTTATCCAATAAATAAAAAACTCTTATATAAATTTAAGTTAAGTATTTTTTTTTACTTTGTCTATTCAATCTTCCACCTCGATAAATTTATACATTATATTATTACATTTAAAATTAAATTACATGTTATAAGACTAATGGTAGAATATATAAGATAAAAAGTATAAAAAATGAAAGTAAACAAAATGACCAAATAATTTATTTAAAAATTTTAAAATTAATTAAAAATTCATATATTTGAAATTCATCATTAAAATTTAAACTATTTCGTATGTGATATGTAACATCCCAAAAATACAGTCTAAAACTATATAATAGAATAATCACATTTAGTAAGATTACAGCTCATTCATACAATAAAAGAGCACGTACGACTATGGCCGAACGGCCTTACAGAAAGACTCTAAAATTAAAACCGAACGCTAAAAGAAAGTCTGACCGAACGGGTTACAAAAAGCCTATACCGAACAGTCAAAACAAAAACGAAAGAGAAAAAATAAGCGAACGGTCACCTTACTATCAGACCACTATTGACCGAACGATTCTACGACTCGGTCTTAACTTCTAACTCGGATAAGATTCTTCCTCCAGCGCTTCTTCTAATGCTTCCTTCAGCAACTCTTCTGGTTCTGCTCCCACCCACAGGGTGATAATCGCAAAGACAAAGACGAACGAACGGGAATACATGACAAGACAGGAAATAGGGTAAGCTTATGTAATTTAATTCATGCATAACCATACATTTCAAATAATCCAACTCCAAATAAATTCCAACGTACGTATCATACAAAGCCTATCACTAGACTGACCGTCCGGACTGTATGACATCTGTGTAGCTACGATATTCGTGCACCCGGGTGATGTAGTAATTGGAATACTCTCATCAGCTGCCACCCGAGGTTAGTCCTATCTGTCCAAAATACCCTTAAGGACTAGGACCTCCTGCCGTTCCCACACATGACCTACCCTCCTCTACGTGAGGACGAGTACTCACGGAACATCATGATGAATCGACAGTTTAGCATTACCACAGTCATATTTTACCAATTCAATATTCATACATGAGTCGTTCCTCCCCGGAACGCTCGTTCATAATTCCAACACATTTTATTCATATCATATTCTCTTCATCGTTCATTATCAATCATCTCAGTTTCATCTTTCATTATTCCTCATCTCAATTTCACCTTTCATTATTAATCATGTCAATTTCCTCCTTGTTCAAAGATTTATAGACACCAGATACCGAACGTTCAATCCTCTCTCAGAACGAGGACAAACACTTAGAACGAGACAGAGAGGTCTCCAGTTCCAGAATAGAATAAGACCGAGAGGGTTACTATCGGATTACGAAAGAAACCGAGGTCAACTGCATATCGCAAGAATGACTAGAACGGACGTTATTTACAAAGTGAGTCAATTAGATGAACTGACCCTTGAGAGTTTGAACCGAATGCTAAAAAGACCTCGCCAAGTGCTACGACTCTAGGCCGGAACCAATCGATACAGACACTTTATGACATTCCAATAATAATACTTAGAAGAATTCACATGAAGAAACCAAACGTTTATAAATATTTAGCTTATTTGAATTTACATCACGAAATCTGAATGTCAGTCAATGACCGAGTACGGTCGAGAAGACAATTCTATTAAGTTAGACGAACACTATTTTTCATCAAAATAGATTATACAAGAAATGAGTACGAGCGCTTGGTGTAAGACCCAACACTACTCAGTACGAGCGCTTGGTGTAAGACCCAACACTACTCAGTACGAGCGCTTGGTGTAAGACCGAGCACTTATAAACTTATAATAAAAGGCTTGATAAATAAAATAAGATATTATCGAAGTAGTGTTTACGAACGACGAAAATATATCATTACATATATATAAAAATTGAGTTTATCAAAGGATACCCAGATACAACTGTGCTTGTCCGAACGCTCAAGCATAGTATTATCACACAAGGACGCTCGTCCTCAACTAGGATTCTCTCCAAATGAAAGAATCTCATTTCAACTATGTTCACCAGGAAAACCGAACGATCAATGACCGTTCAGTAACGAATGTACACTTTTATATGAGAAATTTCATACTAGAATCATTTCTTTTCCTACTCATTTCCTAACATATAGTTTCATAACTTTATACATTCATATCAAAATCAACTTTCATACTTCATACAATCCATATCATATAAGTTTCATACATTATCACATAACTCAGCCATATTTCATTTTCACTCATTAAATAAACGAACGTTTATTCAATCCAATCATATCAACCATCATGCATCAAAATCATTCAGTCAAATAACAGACATTCATTCAGTACAACAACATACAAATTAAATTAAATAAGCTTCCCTTACCTCTGAGCGTGACCGAACGTTCCCAGACGCAGAAATACAATTTCACCACTACAGGTTCTTCTACCGTCAACGCTCGACAAATTCAACTACACCAAGTGACAACCCGACACTATCAGAACCACTCATTTTAAGAATGGTTATCAACATACGAACCCAGAACTAGGTTTGCATGTTTAGGAAAACGAACGACAGAGCGAAGAGAAGGACTTACCAGCCCAGCTTCACAAACCGAACGGTTTATCTGGAAGCTCTTGACGCTGGAAGTGCTTCTACGGTGCCGGAATAGTGACCGGAGGAGAGAAAGTGAGTGTTTTCTCAAAGAGAAGATGAAGAGGAGGTAGAGAGAAGGAGGAGAAAATGGGATTCTTCAGAAATCTGGAAAGAGGGTGCATGCAGAGAGTGGAGTGGATTTTCTGAAAATCCAAGTTTCGCTTCACACTTCAAAATGAACGTCCCATCTTCTGTTGACACCTGCTTTCCACTAACTGATCTTCGGATCCTCTTTGCCTGACACCTAGCGTTCGTCATCTGAGTGTCGAGCCCCCTTCTTGACACGTGAACCTCACTAAAACGATACGTGCGTGGCTTTTTACTGGTTCTGACATGATATTACTTCAACATCTATTTCTGTCAATTTTATTCACGAAGTTCTTTCATATATAATTTTGTCAAATACTAATAGTTTTCACTTAGTTGTGTTACAAAAATGATTTAGTTTATAAATTTACCCAGACTACATTTTAATAATAATAAAAAAAAAAGTAGATGTATCTAAAATGTGATGTGTAAATCCTAGATTGTATCAAAATCTTAGTAGGAAGTACTAAAATTATTGTGGCAGTGGCATACCCGCATTATTGTTGAGTTTGGTATGTTGTTGTGTGCGTGAAGGGCGGCAGTTTCCAAAATCAGTTGCGGTCCTTAACTTTTTTGTAGGAAGAAAACCACAAAAAATTTCCTACCATTAACGGTAACATCAGAGAGATGAGATCCAAGCTGTTGGACTCAATAATTCCTCTGCCATGCCATCAAATCAGACAAGAAGCAATGAATCGAAGGAGACAGAGAGAGAAGAGTAGCCGAATTATCCACATGCCAATCCTTTTCTCTCAACCTTTTCTGTACGCGTGCTAACCTAGATCACCACACACAACACTACCACATTCTCCAAACAAAAATACAATGTTTGTTGTGCTATCGTATGCACTTCCATAATATATATATATATATAGGATGACATTACTATTCATTTTTCGGCACAGAAACTTCATCCATCAAAAATCATTATCCGCTCTCCATTATGTCACGCCTATTTACTTAGCTCTGCATGCCACCCACCACATGCAATGTTCAATCCACCCAAGTTCGTTGCACTTTACTCATTTTTATTCTCAATCAAAGTTTCAGCGGATTAGGATCTCCTTCTCTTTCCATTTTTGTTTTTACTTACAAAATCCTCAATTTTTTTAATATTAGAATCAAAATATTTTGGAAAAACGGTGGCTTTGATTAACTCTAGTTAGGTATAGTCTTCTCCCTGTCCAACCCAATCTCTGCTAACTTTATATGGGCCAAAATCCTTTGCGGCCTAGGCCCACACAAAACGGAAATGGGCCTGAAATAGAGTTAAAAGATTAAAGAATAAGAAAGAGATAAAGAGAGAGGAGGAAGCGAATGTGTGGTGATGGAGAGAGGGAGCGAAAAGGCGAAACTGAAAACCCACTTGATATTCGCGTATGGCACGTTGAAGCGAGGATTCCCCAACCACTATCTGATGGAGGAGCTTATGAACCAGGACGACGCCGTTTTGGTTGGGGTCTACATGACTGAGGATTATTACCCGCTGGTGTGTGGACCTCACGGCATCCCTTACCTGATCAACCTCCCCGGGTCGGGGCACCGGGTGAAGGGCGAGGTTTATGCTGTGTCGGAGAGCGCGGTGGCTAAGCTGGACGAGTTCGAAGGCGTGAGTGCCGGGTGCTACGAGAGGTTATCGGTCACGGTGGTGGGGGCGGTGGAGGTGGGTGGGGGAAGGGTGGAGGCGGAGGCGTATTGGGGACACAGGAGGTTCGGGGAGGTGCTGTGGAAGACGAAGGGGGAGGTGGGGTTGAAGGAGTATGGGGAGAAAGAAGCGAAGGAGTACCTGAGGAAGGAGAACAGACCGGGTGGCAGAAACACTATTCTTGACCTTGTTCCTTAGTTTCTGTGTTGTTTGTTTGTTGGGTCATGAAATAATCTGGGACCATTTCGCCCCAATCTTGATTTTTAAGTGATTGGTGTTATTTCTGAGTTATATAAATTATGTACACCTTGTTTGTCCATTTCTTAAAGATCAAGCATGAACATTAATACTCCCTTATGCAGTAGAATTGAAGGAGAGATTGATAGAATTATTTATATCATAAATGCTGAAGCCCAAGGTTTTATCTGGGGCTGGGATTTCCCTGCAGAAAGAGTTGCTAAACGTATAAGCTCGCAGCATAGCATCAATGATATATTTCAAGGGTGGTTGAAAACAGAGCAACAGTATTGGTGACACAAGTTACTGAATTTAATAAAAACAATAGACGGATTGCAAAACTGCAATTAGAGACTTGTGAGAATCCTGAGATTGAGAGACTTCTTCGCATGGATGGAGCTCTGCCACTCCATAGTGTCACATGGATGGAGATTTGGCACAACGTTAGAAAATAATTAAATAGTAAAAAATTAATACATAATAAAAAATACATTTATTAGATTCACTGAACATGTGTATCCTCATGTCAATCCTATCTATTTAATTATTGTATATGATTAAAGACTTTCAAAATTAATAATTTAATTATAAAAATAATTTTATTATTTAGTAAAACTGTGAGAACCAAAAAAAGATCTAATTCTTTTTTTCATTGAGAATTCTTTTCACTTTTATTAAATAGATATAAAGTTTTTATTCTAATATTTTCATTTGTATTCTGCAATAAATACATATTACTGGTTTTTTTCACTCTTATGATAAATTTATAAACTAATTGAAAAATCTGTTAGATATAATTGAGAAAGATAATCTTTTTACAAATGAACAATACTTTGAAGTTTTAAAATATCCCAGTAGGGTCCAATTTTGTGTGTGGTCGAGGCCCTACATGTTATTAGAAAAGAAGAAAAAGAAGAGTGTTTCTTTCTAAACCTCACTAATTTTTTTATGTACCTAATTGATTTTGATATTTCTAATTCCAACCCTATCAAAAATATTTTGATTTTCAAAAAAGCTGACTCATCCATTGAATAATAAAAAGAAGCAAACCCTACACTCATTTCTCCATTCCAGTGTCGCATTTCACATTTTGAAAACCCTACACCCCTTTTTTCTCCCTTTTCCTTCTGTGCCGAATTTCATATCTCACCCTATACTCCTTTGTTTCTCCTCTCCCAACAGTTGTCTCCTCCTCCCCTCCTCTCTCTCTCACTACTTTCATCATTTAATTTGAACTCGTCCTCCCCTCCTGTCTGGTTTTTCGTTTGGTGGTTGTTTGGTATTAATGTGGGTGTGTGGTGTTGTTGTGGTGGTGAGGTCTAGCATATCAGTGGTTGTTTTTCTTCGAGCTTAGCTTTGGCGTCCAGGTTAGTTGTTGTGTGATTTCCTGCTGCTCGTATATAATCCATGATTGGTTTTGTTAATTGTTGTTATTATGGTATTGGTTGGATGTTTGATCTGGGGTTGGGGTTGATTGATCTAGGGTGTGATGTTTGGATCTAGGATGGGAAGAGTATACGAGAGGAAGGGACGCCTTAACCGCACCTATAATTGCGGTTAAGGCACCGCCGCACATGAAAGTGCGCTTAGGCTGTGTTCTTTTAGATGAATTTGAGGGAGATGATTTGGGGGAGATGATTTGAATGGATTTGAGTGAATTTGAGGGTAATTTTTTTGTTGTTTTTTTTGAGTGGATTTGTGGGTAATTGAGAGTGGATTTGAGTGTAAAGTTTGTGAGAATTAGTATAGGATTTGATTGATGTGACAGATAAAACAAAATTATTTAATTGATAGAAATTTAAGATTACCAAAATATCCCTAATTATTAAAGTGATATAAAATGATAATTTTTAATGTTATATTTAATTGTAAAAATGTTTATAAAAAAAAAATTAATTATTAAAATGTAAAAAAATATTAATTTAGTAAATTAAAATAATAATAATAATAATTATTATTATTAATTATTATTATTATTATTATCATTATTATTATTATTATTATTAACTATGTATAATATAAAAATAAAACAATTGTGATGTTAAAAAAAATTATATAAAATATTTTGTCAAGAGAGACAAAACAACGTTCCCTTCACATCATATAAAATCCTATGTTTGTTATAAAGTTGGGCAGGAGGAGTAACTGTGCTTCATGTGGTCTGTGCTAATTCACAGGGGTAGAAAAGATTTTTCAGCATAATCACATACAAATCTCGTTGCATCCCTGTGGATAGAAAAAAGCACCTCATCCCGCAAATCAGCGAGAATCAATCGTTGCAAATCCCTTAATGTGAACACAATTATTTTCTAAATTCATCTTCTCAAATTCCTCTTAACAGTGTTTTCTCTTCAAACGAACACACGCTTAGTGTCGTGCAGAGCCGCACTTGGACGTACGGTTGAGGAGCGCCGCAGTTGGAGGTGCGGTTGATGCTGTTGGTCGAAGTTCGCAAAGTACGGCTAAGGAGCGGCACAGTTAGAGGTGTGATGGGTGTTCGCCGAAATTCATGAAGTGTGGCAGAGGAGCGCTGCAATTGGATGTGCGCTGGTGATTCGCTGAAATTGGAGTTGCGGTTGGTGTTGTGCCAAGTTGACCTGCGGTGAAGTTTTTTTTTTTTGTTTTCTTTTCTTATGAAAAATTACGTTAATATATTTTAATATTTTTTTTTTATTATATATATATATATATATATATATATATATTTTGTTAATATGTTTTCGTAGTATGTTTTTTATTTGTTTGGTATTTTTTTTCAATTTGTTTTTTTATGATTTTAAATTTTGTATATAATATTTATTATGTATATTTTGCTGTTTTATTTTATTTTATTTGTTTCTGAATTTGTTATTTATTTCATTAAATAATTATTACTATGACTAAATTTTTTATTTTTGACTTATTATTTTGTTTTTTAATTTATTTTTTATTTTTAATGTTTGTGTTATAATTTGTAATTATTTAAGTATTATTTATGAAGTAATTTTTGTTGTTATTAATTTTTTCTTCATTATTTTATTATTAATTTTTTATTTTATGATTATTTATTATTTGTTTCAATATTTATTATTATGTAATTATTTTTTTATATAATTGGTTAATGATATAATTTGTTAATAATATAATTAGTTAATAGAAATGGTTAGAACTAGAGGTGTATCATCTTCTCGTGGTGATGCTTCATGTTCTCGTGGTGAGCCTTCATCTTCATCACGTGATGAAAGGAGACGACCTACAGCATCTGCTCGTAGAAGACGCGTACAAAAATATCGTGTGGATGTTATTCATGAGGATGAGTATGAGGAGTTGGACGAAATTATACAACAAGGATACGGTGAGGACGACTATGTTGAGCAGGAGGATGTTCAACAACAGGATGACTATAGTGAGGAAGAAGATGAAGATGGAGATGAAGATGAAGATGAAGCTAAAGATGAAGCTAAAGATGGTGGATTTCCAGGAGGTCCATGTGATACCTCCTTGCTTACACATTATACACATCATGTTGCATTTGCCATATGGCAAGGTCGAGTTAGTCATCAACCTAAATATTAATTGTTCATTAATTGTTTATTTATTTTTGTTATATAATTTTTGTGTTTTTATGTAGGATCGAGGGGAGATCAAAGTGATGTCCCATGGTAAAAAATTAAAACATTTTGGAATGTACCATGAGGCTATTGAGCCTTATGTCTGCATGTCGGGGTTGGCTTTCTTAGTCAACCTATCATACGAGTATGTCGACCATGATTGATCGTTTTCGTTGCGAAGAGGTGGCACCTAGAGACGAATATTTTCCACCTCCCGGTAGGAGAGATAAGTGTCACATTAGATGACGTTTACAATCTGCTCCACCTACCTATCATGGGGTAATTTTGTGAGGTGGAGGAGTTACAATATGATGAGACTCAATCTCATCTTATGGACTTGCTTGGCGTCGACCGCGCCAAAGCTTCAACCGAGATGAAACAGTCACGCAGTCCAAAAGTTAGGCTTAGCTGGCTTCGCGAGGTCTACCAGAAGTGCATTGAGCAAGAGCTTTGGGAGTGCGCTGCTCGCGCCTACTTGTTGCATTTGCTTGGATGCACAATTTTTACGAATAAGAGTGGGACATTGATTCAGGTCTCGTACCTCCTTTTGTTTGCAAGACTTGAATGCATGTGCGAGATATGCCTGGGGAGCAACTACACTGACACATACTTATAGAAGTTAGGAGATGCTAGCTTCACTGCTGTCAAGCAAATAGCTGGATATTCCACTCTTCTACAGGTACATTTTAGTTTAACCAATTTTTTTAATATATTTTAGGAATGTATAAAACAATTTAAGTAATGTTTTTTGTAGAGTTGGATATATAAGAACCTTTCTGGCATGGGAAGGAGGCGAGTGCCGGAGAGTTACACAGAACTCGATCCACGAGCTTCACGATATATAGCTTTAAGGTAGGGTTGGAGTCTGACGGAGGGGCGGGCATATCTGGATGGGCTCACTTATGATGCAGTCATATGCATCCATACATTTCGCACAGACGTACCTGTCAATTCATGACCATATATATGTTTTCGGGATGGATTCGACTAGGCGACATGATTCACCGACATCTGCCTGAACGTGTGTTGTGACAGTTCGGTTTTCAGCAAATCATACCACGTTCGCCTGAGAGCCTTCTGATGCCAAACATTCCTACGATTGATCCGAATTAGCTGAGGTATGTAGAGCATGCCATTAATGGTGTTGCTGAAGCTCATGAGCCCTTTGCGTATGTTGATGGCTAGTGTGGTTTAGACGGGTGTCTCACCCGTACATCACTTCAGCTGGCGATGATGACTGACCCGGTCTTGCACCGCGTACAATGAATTAGTATAAAACATATTTACATTTGAAAAAATAATTTACTATAAAACAAAGTTAATTTCAATCTTCTATAAGATCTACACAAGTTCTATTCACTTCATTAACTCCATAAATGATTGCATCCTATGTGTATAAAATGATGACCATGATCACGCCTCTGGGTAACAATGGTTTGAGGAAATGATGTCCACCATGGGTAACGGACAACCATCTTGTAATTGAACCTGGAAACTTAATATTAGTAAATGAATCATAATGGGTAACGGTTATGGTATAATAGAAAGGAAAGTTTACTTGTACGAAATAACATCCATTAACAAATCTCATGCATAAGATTCGATGTTGTCTGATATCAGTAGGCGGTGAAGTGCGTAGTGAGAATAAGGTAAAACTTTGAACATAGGACAAGCATATTAAGATGACATTGTATTTATTTGCAATGGCATAGCCAATGTCCGGTATTGTCATCCACTTCTTAGCATTAACCTGTATTGCTTGAAGGTAAGTATTTATGAAAAGCAATACAAAATAACAAATAAGTAATGTTTATGAGGTAAATAAGAAATACCTGTGATCGATCGTGGACAAGCAATGACTGCCATAGTTCTTCTAATTGATCGTAGCTTCCTACTAATTTTGCGTATACATCACACCACTAAGTTAGTTCTTGATAAAGGTCATGTCATATAATAGGCCATGCCTCTTCACCTAGACCCAACAAAGCAGCAATGCATCGATAACCACAATGACCATCACCAACAACATCGACAATGTATGGATGACAAATCAGATGAAATTGATTTAACATCGGTACTGGTCTTCGCGCAACTTCTTTTGGCTTCGATTTGACTTGTGATTTTCGTGATGAAGGATCTGTCCTCGAATGAAAAGTGTCAACGTGCTCAAAATATGATGGGTCATGTTTTGTAGACCTTTCATGACGTGCAACTTTAGTCTTTTGTGCACCTTTTGTTTTCACTTTATGCGAAGGAGAAACCATAGATGTCATCTCTGGGCAAGCAATTTCTAGAATCTTCTGCTTGATGTTGACTTTTTCACCAATGTCAACGTTCTTGAATCGTTCATGTACCAGTTGAACTTCACGATCTAAGCTAAACTTTGGAAGCGATTCAATAGACACAGTACTTGAAATGCTTAAACGGGTCCACATAACATGTATTTCACCTTAGAGGAAATATGCCAGGATCATATCGTGCTAACACACAAGCACATGGTAGGCCATACATTGAGCTCAAAATGCATCCACAACAACCACTATCCAAACCTATTTTATTCACTCGCTCAACTTCATCGGCAATAAGTTCTAAAGTGTATCGTGAAACACGTCCAATAAGTCTTCTATATCTCAATCCTTTATAACCATCACTCATTACGTTAAGACTTTGTTCAAAGGACGCTCTGATCTTATTATGTTGTAGGACAATGACGTTATGCATAGCATCCCAACACGAGCATAGGTCTCTCATACTAGACCCCAATAATCTCTTATGGTTCCAGTGTGCAGACTCAACCCTGTCACAAAACACATTAATACTATCACAACAAATATGAAATACATAAGTAAACAATTTACCAATAACAATTACCAGTTTGTTGTAGTGTTTCCTAGATGCATCACTTTGTTCGTCCACGCCTTGACGAAGTATGTCTTGTACGGAATGATCCAAGTATGGTTCACATAATAAAAAAATAGAGGCCATCATGCAGAGGCATACTCAAAACGATGAACATAGGCATCAAACATCGACTGGTCGTCACAGTCCATCACATTTTGCCAAACTTCCATCAACACATCCCGTGCCTCAACATTATCCACTAACATCTTACATTTCGCTTTCACATTCTTCATAATGTGGAATGTAAAAAACATCTGATACGTCTCAAGAAGACATTGCTAATGGCATTTATCAAAGTAAGGTCTCTGTCAGTGACAACAACGCGTGGATTGCCTTTTGATGTCAATAGTAATCCTTTGAACCTTTCCAGTGCCCAAGTGAAATTATTTTGGCATTCACTTGAAAGCAATGCAAAGGCGGTTGTGAATGTCAATCCAGTGGATGTGACTCCTACAATCTCAAGCAACGGAAGACGATATTTGTTTGTCTTGTACGTCGTATCCATTAAGAAGACAATATTAAATGAATTTACCAGGTGCACTGAATCGGGATGTGTCCAAAACAGGTAACTTACTAAGTAAAAATAGTCCAAACATCTACTTCTCTGGATGTATTTGTCTCTATCTAACAACATCATCAACTGTTGCATTTCCGTTCTTGATCCTCTCAAAGATCGTTTGAAAGTGTATCTCGCGTTATATATTTTTTTTATTGTCGTCACGTTATCTTCATTATGTTCTTTAAGAGTCAAAAGAATATTTGAGGGCTTAACTTGACTCTTAGTCATTTCAACAAGAATTGACTATGTAGCAGCATTTAACCTCCCCTCGAAAGGATGACCAACCAAAGTCTCTACTAATTCATGGTTGTGATAGCTGTACATAACCTTTAACACTCAACCATGTCCTTTATAGGTTTACCCCTTAACCTAAACGGACACTCACATTTTCTTGTGTCAGATACACTAGGCTGAACATCTGGCTTATACTTCCTTTACTTCCCACTCCTTTCACATCCTAACACAATGAATGTCTTTCTTCCAGCTTCACCAGTTGTTATGTCAAATTTTATAATCACGACAACAAATCCAAGGTCGAATGCAATCTTTTGAACCCATTCAATTAATCGTCGCGTGATGGGAAGATTTGATCAGTGAAAAGTTAGTTGTGAAATCACCCTCACTGACTTCATTTAGAAAAGAATAAAATTCCGATATAAAATCAGAATTTATTTGAGAATCGATAAATGAATAGTTATTCATCTTATATAATTAAATACAACCTACAATAAACATTACAATATTAAAATTTAACAAATAACAATTAAAAAATTAATGAAAACTTTTAAAATTTAAATAAAAATTACTAAATATAAACATCTTATAAGTTAAACCAAAACTTAAAAAAATTAACACATAAAAATTGTATACAATAAATAAAAAATAAGAAAAAATATTCTAAACTAAATACTAAATAAAAAATTTAAACTTATTCTAAATTAAATATAACTTCACGTATAAAACATTGAACAATTAATAACAAATAAAAAATTTTAAAAAAATATTAACTATTACATAAAAAAATACACTTAAATTACTAACTAATACATCAAAAATTACTACAATACAATATAACATAAATTTTTATAAACTAAATACTAAATAAAAATTAAATGAAATAATAATTCATTAACACGTATAGTTTAATATTAATATAGTTTAAAATAACTTTAATATGTTAAAAGTCTATCAAAATTTGGTAAATGAATTTTTGTTTATAACACCACTTCATAAAAAAAAATAGTTGAACACTTCCTTAGTTGCTTCAAATTTACCAATAAGAAATATAACCAAGATGACTAACCCTCTGAAAATGTATTTGTAATATCTAATCTAACAGGACAATGGCATTCCATCTAAAGATTAAAGTCATATCAATAGGTATATCAAAACTCCAAGTTAATAGACACTAGGTAAAGGAGTCTTGGATATGAAGCCAAGATAACAAATGGTAACAGAACAGTTATGCTTAGGTCTCTTGTGAAACTTATTGCTCTCATCTTATTGTCAATCTAACATTAGCATGATGTAAATCAAACTGGATATCATACATACTCAAACATACTATAATTCATAATATAACAATAAACAACAATGAGACATGATCCATAATACAATATGCAAATAAAGATCATAGGCAAGCATAAACCATAATATCACAGTAAATAAACAACAAAAATGATAGAGGATTCAGAATGCAATGTCCTAATAAACATAAATTGATAAGCATATGAAGGCTCAGTTAAAAAAAAGTCTGTACAGTGAAACCACACTTGGAAGTGCGGCACCCCTAAACCGCAGTTCGAAGTGCGGTTGGGGGTGAGCCGAAATTCGAATTTCAGCCTGGTGTAATCGGCGTTCGAAATGTGCCACTATTAACCGCATCTCCAACGGCGGTTTACTTCAAATAATGTACTAACCTGTGAGCTATCGCTGCTTTCTTCCTCCTCCACTGTCCACAGCACCACCAACACTGCTTTCTTCCTCCTCCACTGTCCACAGCACCACCAACACTGCTTTCTTCCTCCTCTACTACTATCACAACACCACCGGGCACAACCACTACAACTCTGAATCTAAAAAACAATATAACAGTACAATGAAGAAGTGAAGAATGAAAGTAAAAAAATACCAACAGCGAAGGGAGTGCATGTAAGGCAACAAATGATATTTATGGTTTATACCATTTATGGTTGTTGGGGGTTAGGAGGGTTACTGGTGATTAGAAATTATTAATTCATCATTAATTTTCATGTGTGAGACGTAAAGAGCATTGAACGCAATTATATAAATTTTAATAAAAAGTGTCAGGACAAACTCTATGAATCCTTTTGAGCCATCTTTTTCAGTAAAAAAAACGGTCTGTTACTTTCTGCACTCCATCAAAAAATTTCCTAATTCATTATTTCTAATTTTATTTTCCAAAACGTATTAAATCACTTGCAGAAATATTTCTATGGAAAACATCCACTCACTTTTTTCTGAATACACTCATCAATTCCTATTATTATTATTTTTTTCAGAAACTTTGATGGGATACAGGAATTAACACCCACAAAAACAAAACAAGGGACAAACGTGAAAACATTAGCGAATGTATTTGTTTAAATCTCTTCTCAGGTTGGGGCTTACTCACACAATGGGCCTTGAAAATGCAATGTTGGGAGCTTCTCCATATACGTTTAAGTTATCTCCCTGCGTCTCACAATTTATAGTTTTGTCTTCATTAAAAACCAAATTTAGTGTCCTTACATTCCAAGTCTTCATATGTCCTACAACTGATCCTATTTTGAAATCAAATTTAATAAATTAATAAGTTTTAAAATTTAATTAAAAAAATCATTGATCTTCGAAATTCAGTAAAAAAATTACTAAATTTTTAAATTCAGTTTAAAAACTCACTGAATTTCAAAATCATATTTAAAAAATAACTACATTTTAAAATCTGATAAACATATAAAATTTCAAAATTTGATTAATAATACATCAGATTTTAAAATCTGATAAACATTTTTTCCAAAATTTCAAAATTCAATAAATATTTCAATCTTAAAATCCGATTATCATTTTATCGATTTTTTGAAATCTAATACATAGGTTGGAATCAAGCACATTATTTATTTATTTCTTTTTTTTTAATTTTTTATTTTATTTTAAATATGTTTTACTTGTTTTAGTTTAATAAATTATACTCTAAAATATTAAAATATTAAGATATATTAAATTATACTAATTAACATATATTAAATAGTAATAATAATAATAATAATAATAAATTATGATAAAATAATTGGTTTTGTCAAAATCAAAATAGTAAAATTTAATATATATTAATCGATTAAAATCCGGTTAACACATTTTTCTAAATTTTGATTTCTAAGTTAAAACTTAATAAACATTTAGTTTAATATAATATTTTAAAATAATAATATAATAATATAATAATAATAATAATAATTATTATTATTATTATTATGATTATTGTTATTATTATTTTTATTATTATCATTATTACTATTTTTATTATTATTATTATTATTATTATTATTATTATTATTATTATTATTATTATTATTTTATCATGATCATAATTATTATTATTACTATTTTTTATTATTATTATTACTATTATTTAATATATGATAATTAGTATTATTTGGTCTAATATTTTAATATATCTTAATATTTTAATATTTTAAAATATAATTTAATAAATTAAAACAAATAAAACATATTTAAAATTAAATTAAAGAAAATTTAAAAAATAAATAAATAAATAATGTGTCTGATTTCAACATAAACCAGATTCTGAAAAGATTGATAAAATGAAAACCAAATTTCAAAATTCAGTAAAAATATTTACAAAATTTTTGAAATTTGGTGACCTCCCTAATCAAATTTCAAAACTTGATAAGTTTCTTAATTGAATTTTAAAATCTAATTAAATTTTTAATTAAATTTTAAAATTTTATAATCTTTTAAATCAAATTTTGAAATTTAATAATTTGCTTAATCAAATTTCGAAATATAATTAGTTTTAAAATTTAGTAATTTTTTAAATTGGATTCTAAAATTCCATCAAGTAGGGAAATACGGGACTAAGAAAAAACTAGGTGGTAGATGGCTAGGATATTATGGAAGAGAAAAAAACATCATTCTTATCAAAAGGGTAGTTTAGACATTAAGAGAAACTGGGAGGTGAAGGAAGAAAGCTTAGATGTGAGGGAGAAACACTGTGCGATGTTCATACTTGGGCTTCAAAGGACACGTAGGCCCAGAAGGTAAAATGCGCATCCAAATTCCACGACAGTTAATAACCACATGTCGACATCACACGATTGAGGAAATTTTACAACTCTATATTTCAATGAAATTGCTAATCTAAAATTTAGTCACTTAAAACAGTAATTAAATCTCACTATTTAATTTTAAACTTAGCAATTAAAATCGTAATTTACAGATTATTAAAGATGGTAGGTAGAAGATCAAATATTGAGTAGGAAATAAGAAATAAAAATTTAATCGCAGAGCCTAATAGATAAGTATTTGTTTGTTGTCAAGAATTATTTCATTTCACATTTTATACTTAATCTTAACAAAATAAAATTTATATTGGATGACAGGTTGGTTATCCAAGTCGTATATCTGATATAGAAGCTAAGTGTATATGGTTATATTTGAAGGTTAGGTGTGTGTGTCAAATTTACTCATAATTAACTACACCATACAAACACATAAAAAGCATAGAAAGTGTTGAAAAAAGAAGAAGAACTAACTCAAACATTACAACTCCTGGTTAACCAAATACAGACTATGAGTTATATATGAATTATGTTATAATTATCAAACATGAGACGCAGGCATGAGAAGACACATGTTCAGTGCTCTAAGTCACGTGAGTATTTCTAATATAACCACTAAATAATATCCTATCTAATTACGATACGAGTAAACTGCTAAACTATATAAGATTAGTAGTCTGATATTCACATACTACATATATATTGTCTACAGCATGTAATTACTAATCATATATCAGATAGCGAACATACAACACAGTCGTGGAGTCGGTAACTCTTGTAGTGGGCAACACATTGCTGCTAGAGTCAAACATTTCTGGTGGAAGATAAGAGTGAAAGGAAAAAGGGAAATCCACTACACTAGCAGAAGATGATGGGTGGATCCCGCAATCTTCCAATTTTCATGTGATCATCCACTATACCATACTTTCAATTTCATGTACTGCCACTCCAGAAGTTGCTTCCCCATTTTCAATGTTAGTGATATATAGCTGGAGTAAGGTAAACAGTTTCATGCTTCATACCTTATAATCCACTTCACACATGCCCACATGCAAACAAATATTGTTTTCTTTTACATACTGCTCTCTATGTCTTGTTCTTCGTAGCAGTAATTTTAATATATTTTTCCATAGTTAAAAATCCCAGTTCAGAGTAAGACCGATTGTTTAAAACGGATGCAGGTTTTATCAGAGAATTGGTTTGAAAGAAAAAGAGAATTGGTTCCAGTGGTCACGGTGCTAAGTGTGAACATCCAAGATGAATGATTCCGACATTCTAAAGAGAAAACGGATATAGGTTTTATCAGAGAAAGGAGAATAGGTTTAGAACATGATCTTGCGTAGGTAGCACAGTGATAAGTGAGAACATGATCAGTGTAATGGTTGTGGTGGTTGACAGCAAAAGCACAGCAGTGGGTCTTATAGTGCGATTTTCTGTACTTGAACCCAACCAACTACTGCATGTGCAGTGGGCCACACTTCGAGAAATTAAAACACACTTTAGGGCCCCTCCATTTGTGTAATGGGCCAGGCCCATTACTATATATACACAAGCACTTAGCATTCCAAAATCACGCTTTGCCATGGCAACTTCTAAAGTAGTTCTCGGTAACATTCTCTTTGTGTTTGTTTGTTTAGGAATTTGCTCTGCTGCAAGAACACTCCTCACTCTAGAGGACCGTGTCAACTTGCATGTTGGCACTGTTGTTGGTGGATATGGCGGTGGTGGAGGAAGTGGCGGCGGCGGAGGAGGAGGAGGTGCTGGAGTAGAGCGAGGTGCTGGTGGCTACGGAGAAGGAGCTGGAGGAGGTGAAGGTGCCGGTGCTGGATATGGGGCTGCGGGTGGTGGACACGGTGGTGGTGGAGGAAACGGTGGTGGCGGTGGCGGTGGTGCTGATGGAGGTGGATACGGAGGAGGGGCCGGTAAGGGTGGTGGTGAAGGATATGGCGGAGGTGGAGCAAATGGGGGTGGTTATGGTGGTGGAAGTGGAGGAGGAGGAGGCGGTGGTGCAGGGGGTGCTGGTAGTGGTTATGGAGGCGGGGAAGGGAGTGGGGCTGGCGGTGGCTACGGTGGAGCCAATGGTGGAGGAGGAGGTGGTGGAAGTGGTGGGGGTGGTGGAGGAGGTGCTGGCGGAGCAAATGGAGGAGGATATGGTGGTGGTGAGGGAGCTGGACAAGGAGCCGGTGGAGGATACGGTGGTGGAGCAGCCGGTGGGGGTGGGGGTGGCTCTGGTGGCGGTGGCGGTGGAGGCTATGGCGGTGGAGGTTCACGTGGGGGTGGGTATGGAGGTGGTGGTGGGAGTGGCGAAGGTGGTGGCCACGGTGGTGGATACTACCCCTGAGATGAATACATTACCTGAGAAAATATGGTAGCTAGCTCGGTGTGGCTATAGTAACAATAATAAGAAAATGTAAGGGTACGAGAATGCTGATAAACTATTTATGCATTCTATTCTAATTTATGTTTTACATATAAGTCGAATGGGTTGAAGCTCTGCAAGATTTACACTAATATTGATGTATACACGCAAGACTCTTTACGATATTTGATTGGCGATGTATTTATTAATCATATACATGCAAGACTACATTGCCCTATTCCATGAACTTCCGTTATGAGTGTCTTTCTTGCGAGAAACTAAGTTAAAGAAGCCATGATGGAAAACATGCCAACTTGAAGACTTTGTTATAAAAAATAAATACGAACTTGCATCATTTAATAAATTACTATTGTGTAATATTTAAAACATAAAATAGAAACAAAAAGTGCAAAAACAATAAAATTGATAAGATGAAATAAAGAAAAAGAACTGCACAGTAATATATATTTCACTTTGAAAATGAAATCGAAAATATATTTATCATCTGTATAAAGAACTATTTTAACTACTTTTTTTAATAATTTTTCTACAATAAACTATGTATAGCCGTTTTATTAGTTTATTTATTTAAAATAGATCAATCACAAATCACATAAAAAATTGTTAAAAAAACATTTTTTTTTCTATAAAAAACAGACTATTCTATTCATTATATAACATATTTAGTGTATGCTCAACTAATGCGAGATAAATCTTCCATGTGAATTGAGAATTTGCAGAGATGTTAAACTAGACTTGTTATAAAAATATAGATTATATGATAACACGTATATGAAGTCATTGTAATGCTGTAGTTATATAAGGAGTTAAATATTGATCTTAAGTATGAATAATGTGTATTTAGTTGTATAAGCGAAACTGTGATAGAAAATATTACTCTTTTTTTGGATACAGTCATTGTTTGTCGAGTTTCAATATAAAAGAATCTTCAACCAGTTCGCATACAAATATAATGCTTGGAAGAAAATGTTTATATGATGACCCTTAACTATAGTCACGTATTTTTAAGAAATACAATATTTTGTACAGTGTGTACAAAGCTCGGTACAACACGTATAAATCTTATTTGTCTTTTACTCACGTTTTTTTTTTCAATGCAGCAACTAAACACTAATTAAAGATTCATAACCTCCTTCTGCTTTTCTGGTTTTCTATTTATCTTTTCTGTTTTCAGTGTTTCCTTTTCCTATATATGTAATCCTTATCTGCTTGTATAAAATATACAATACACAAAATACACAGAGACTTCTTTTCTCTGCTTCCTTCTCTATTTCTCTTCTTTCTTGTGCTTAGGTTTTTGTATCACAGTTTGTTTTTCACCATGTGTATGTTCATCTGCATACTCTAATTATCATAATTAAAAAAAAATCTTGCTTTCCTAATATATTAAACATTACCGCTCACTGTCTAATAACTCTTAAATTTAAATTTATTCTTATATTTTCTAACTAATAATAATAATATTTTTCTCTTGGACGAGGTATTTTAATAATGTAACTCGTATACTTAATTAATAAGACTCAAGGCTCGAAAAAAATATATTAAAAGGAATGTTATTGTAGCACTCTTTGAAGCCATATAATTGGTAGTATATGTTATTTGTTAAGAGTTGTTCCATGCATCTAAACTATTATGTATATATTTTTATTTTATAAGGATTAAGATCCTGTAATAGATCTTTCCTACGACCATAGCTGTACATTATAGTGTTATTAGAATAACAGAAATGAACGGTGGATGACAAGTGTGGTAGGGCATGAAAAAGGAATGGAAGAAGAAGATTATGAAAGTAAAAAAACAGTGGTGAGTGGCGGTGGGAGGTATAGGTAGGTAGGCATATAGAAAAGGGTTTGTTGAAAAAAGAAAAGAAAAAAGCGTAGGTTTGTTGTATGGATATTCCGTTGGATGTGGAAGACAGCAGAAGCACACAATGAGAATGGTGTGAGGGTAGCTCCAGTATGAGTGCTTTCAGTGTATCTTTGTACATGTTTGCTTAATGGACCACACTGTGGGGACATCCAACTTTCATATCCATGTGCTTCAACCACTCTTTGCTCTCAACGCGCCTTCCCAATCCCTATAAATACCCTTCAACCTTCGTCACTTCTAAACCAACCTACCTTCTGCGATTTCATCTTCACTTCAATCCCATGGCTACTATACACGGATTTCCCACTTTTCTTTTCTCACTACTGTTGGCTCTGGGTCTATCTTCTGCTACAAGGACCCTTCTCACCTTTGATGCTGGATATGGTGTAGGCCATGGCATTGCTGGTGGTTATGGTGCTGCTGCTGCTGGAAGTTATGGAGCTGGTGGAGGTGGCGGCTCGGGTGGTGGCGGTGGATATGGTGGGGAGCATGGAGTTGTTGGGTATGGAGGTGGTAGTGGCGGAGGACAGGGTGGGGGAATAGGATATGGTGGTGATCATGGATATGGTGGTGGTGGTGGAAGTGGTGGCGGTGGCGGTGTGGCTTATGGTGGTGGGGGAGAGCATGGTGGTGGTTATGGTGGAGGTGAAGGAGGTGGAGCAGGAGGGGGATATGGAGCCGGTGGGGAACATGGCATTGGGTATGGAGGAGGTGGCGGTAGTGGTGCTGGTGGTGGAGGTGGGTATGGTGCAGGAGGAGCACAGGGTGGTGGATACGGTACGGGTGGAGGAGCTGGTGGTGGTGCAGGAGGACAGCAAGGGGGCAGTTACGGGGGTGGTCAAGGAGGTGGAGGGGGAGCAGGTGGAGGATACGGTGAAGGTGGAGTACATGGTGGTGGTTATGGTGGTAGTGGTCAAGGAAGTGGAGGTGGAGCAGGTGGAGGGTATGCTGGTGGTGGTGGACAAGGAGGTGGAGCTGGAGCTGGTGGAGGATATGGTGCGGGTGGAGAGCATGGAGGTGGATATGGTGGTGGACAAGGAGGAGGAGCTGGTGGAGGATACGGTGCGGGTGGAGAGCACGGTGGAGGATCAGGGGGTGGTCAAGGAGGTGGAGCTGGTGGAGGGTACGGTACCGGTGGAGAGCATGGTGGAGGATATGGGAGTGGCCAAGGAGCTGGAGCAGGCGGAGGTTATGGTGGAGAGCATGGTGGTGGCTATGGAGGAGGTCAAGGAGGTGGAGGTGGATATGGTGCTGGTGGAGATCATGGTGCTGCTGGCTATGGAGGTGGTGAAGGAGGTGGAGCTGGTGGAGGGTATGGTGCCGGTGGGGAACATGGCATTGGGTACGGAGGAGGTGGAGGAAGTGGAGGTGGGAGTGGAGGAGGTTATGGTGATGGAGGAGCCCATGGAGGTGGATATGGTGGCGGCGCCGGTGGAGGAGGTGGGTATGGGGCAGGTGGAGCACATGGTGGTGGTTACGGAGGAGGTGGTGGAAGTGGTGGGGGCCACGGTGGCTATGTTCCCTAAGAATTTGTCTACAAAGCACACTAGATTTCGAAGTGAAGCCTTGGAAAGAATAAGCATGATGATAATAATAATAACTTAACAAGCACCTTTTTATAAACTAAAGATTTTTATGTACGCAAATATATCTATAATTATTAATTGCATTACGGTAAAACTATTCTCTTCTTCTTGTACTTGATTTTATATTTATATGGAAGAAATATGCTGAGTTTGAGAATCTCTTTCTGCTCCATCTTGGTGCAAACAATCACGTTCAATTACTAGAAAAAAAAAGATTAGTTGGTACTAATCTCTAAACTTACTCTCACCAAATCACATTATACCTGATATCCTACTCATCTAATATAATGAATGCTTATTTATTTGTTATATGGAAATGATTATTTAACGTGTTCAGTAAAAGTAAGATAAAACAATACATAGTAAATATTTTAACTAATTTAGAAAATTATACCAACTACATTCAAATATATAGGACAGAATATACTGATCATTTAGTATTTAATTCCATTATAAGTTGGAGTGGTAAGCTAGAAAGTTCTATAAAAACAAAGGAGAAAAATATGATGATATCCAGGAAAAGAGAGAAGAGGAAGAAAAAATAGATACAATAATTGGTGATATAACAAGAGGAGAGTGAATAATAGTGATAACAATAATAAATATTATATGATCTGTGAGAAAAATGACCGAATGTCTCGAACTGGTATTAACGTAAAGAAAATGCTAAAATGTCATAAAAATTTTCTAGGTCAGCAGACATTAAGATTATTGAAATATGAAGAGTTCAGAAATCCAAATTCGTATTCCCATACCATCTTGTGCTCTACAAATAACAAGAATAGTAATAACATGATATATATTTATGTTTATTTAACTTATATTATAGGAATAAAATGATTATATAAAATGAATTTTCATATTTAAAATATATATATATATATATATATATATATATATATATATAAATATATATAAAAATAACTATAAAAAAATTATGTGTATCAAAATATTATTTTTCTAAAAAAATAACATGAGTACCGAAAGTCAAATGCTTACACTAGTAAGAAAAGTCAAATCCCTTATACATCATTTAATATACAATTAATGAGTGGATTTTCTTTCGTCTTATAGCGGCAGGACCATAATAGTAATTATTAGTGGATTTTGGTAAAGGAAGTAATGAACATTACTTTTAGATACAAAATTAAACTACGTCGATTTTGCTAATTAAAGCGATAACATTTAAGTAGGTTAAATTATACAAGTGGAATGCTAAACCGTGACATGAGTCTAAGAGTGACATATCTGTCACAACCACAACATTTCTATTGGTGTTTGATTCCTGGGTTTCAAAAGGCATTAAAAAGGACGTTTTATCCTCACCTCCAAGAATTTCATCTTATATCCTTAAATTTTATTAAAATGATCATTACATCCCGAATTAAAAGGCAAAATAATTTTAAAAAGTTCAAAAAAAAAATCATTAATCAGATTATTTCTAAACCTTAAAAACTCTTTCTCTCTCTCACTTTCACTTTCATGTCCATTGACTTTGTTCTCCATTCTTTTTTTTTTATTCTCAACTTCTTTTTCACTTCTTCTATTTGTTTCTTCCATTTCTTTCATTTTCGTTTGTTCGTCATAGATCCAACTTCCTTCCTCTTCCTGATTGTTGTTTTTCATTGCATTTTCATTGAAGGTTGATGCTCTTTTCCCTTCAAAGTTCAATTTTTTGTTGATTTATTCTATGTTTGTACCTGTAGAATTAGATTGCATTTGTAGAATTAAAATTTGTATAGTTAGAATTTGTGTTTGAAGTAAATGAGTGTGAAGAAATAGGTTAGAAAAGCGTTTTGGACAAGAGAAAACATTAATCTATAAATGAGCTTTTGTAAAATCGAATTTGAAAATGCAAATCTATCTTCATCATATTTAGAAATCCGATTTTGCTTTCATCGGATTTGGAATCCGATTTTGTCTTCATTGAATGTCGAAATCCGATAAAGGTAGAATCGGATTTCCAAATTCGATGAAAGCAAAATCAATTTTCCAAATTATTACAAATATAATTATGTAATTATAAAATACTAATACATTATTACAAATAAAAACTTTAAATTCAAAAAAATTAAAAAATAGTAAATAATTCCAAACAAAAAAGTTTACTTCAAAATAAATTTAGTTAATTAAAATATTTATATAATTATAAAATCTTAATATTTTATTAAAAAAATAACAAAATATCTTAAAATTAAAAAACTATAAAACAACTAAAACATTAAACAATTCAAAAATACAAAATTTTAATAAAAACATAATTAATTAATTAAAATAATTATATACATATCAAATACTAAAATTTTATTAACAATAAAACAAATTCTAATCATATAAAAATTAAATAACTATAAATCTTATTTAAAATTAAATTAAATTATTAAAAAAATTAAATTAAAATTAACAATGCAGAATTGAATTTCGAAAACTGATTCTGCCTCCAGCGATTTTGGACCTGCCTTCATTGATTTTTGAAATTTGATAAAAAGAAATTAGTTTTCCAAATCCGATAAAGGCATATTTGCATTTTCAAATTCGATTTTACCAAAAACTCATGTTTATATTAATGTTTTCTCTCGTCCAAAACTCCTTTCAAACCTATTATCTCATACTCATTTACTTCAAATACAATTTCTAACCATAACAATTCTAATTCTACATATGCAATATAATTCTACACGTACAAACAAACAATAAATCAATAAAAGAATTGAACTTTGAAGGGAAAGGAGCACCAACCTTCAACGAAAAATGCACCGAATAACAGCAACCAGGAAGAGGAAGGAAGTTGGACTTGTTACGAACAAACAAAAGTGAAGGAGGTGGAAGAAACAAATAGGTGATGGTAAACTCATAGCCAAGGGTCCAACCACTAGAAGTATGGCCAAGCTCCTCCAAGAAGAACCATCTTTAGAAGGAAAAACAAATGTTTGTTTCACTTGGGCCATCATGGAAGAAGAAGGAGTAGTGTAAGATTTAGGCCTTGTATTCGGCCATGTAGTGTAGGTTTGATTAAGGCTTGTATTAAGGCCTAAGTAGAATAGGATTTTCCTTAAGTTAGATATACAAACAAAGTGGAAAGTGTGTGCCATGTGTCATGCTTCCATTGGAGAGGATTTGCTTTTTAGAAGTGGTCACATGATACCTTAAGAGTGGAGAGAATTTCTTTTTGGTAGTAGCCACATGTCTCTCCACCATTGGAGAGGATTTGTGATACATGTCTCCCTCCTAATGGTGAACAATATTCAACCAAAGAGTGCATGATGGCTAGGTTTCGCTTTAAGGTTTTCAAAAGATGCTTTTATGGTTAGAAGAAGACGCCATGGGCCTATAAATAAAGGTGTCTCCACTCTTGTATTTCATCTTGGATTAATGTGATGTTATGCTGTCAAATTATGGTCATGTACTTCCTAGATCAAGACTAGAGCAATCCTAGAGACCCCTCTAGTCACCTACCTCATGGAGTTGACCTAACCTTTCCTTGAACCATCAAACTATTCACCATCTTCACCATATAGCCCAAGGCTATGAGTTATCTCCTTCACCACCACCATGTGTTCATCATGTTACCTTATCTCACCCCATTTTCGCAACTATACGGTCTATTGGGACCATCCCCTTGTTTCTTTCTAAGTTTTGGCACAACCTAACTCAAGAATGTTACTATCAATAAGAGAAGGGAAAAAAGAATTGAAAGCAATGAGAGAGAAGCGTTAAAGTGAGAGGGAGAAAGAGATTTTTAGATTTAGAAAGAATCTGGTCAAAGATTCTTTTGAATTTTTATAAATTTATGTACCTTTTAACCTCAAAATGGCTAATTTAATAAAATTTGGAAGTGTTGCGTGAAACCCTTAGAGATTAGGGGTGAAATGCCTGTTTGGAAGAGATACTCAAAACTACTATATGTTTAGGCTACCTAAGTGGTCCACTTTATATATAATACAAGAACAACAAATAATCATAGAAAATATACATATATACATTATATGCTATGTTTATAAAACTTGTAATAAATTAAAGTATAAAAGAAAAATAAATCCTATAAGATACTCTGAGATAACATTAGCTTGTTAGAAGAAAACAATTTATTTAGCCCCAAAAAGGATTAAAGAAAAACAAAAATTGAATAAATTTGAGGCCAGAAAACCCTAGAAAATGTTTAGCAAGTGCGCCTTGGAAATGCTGCGACTGATGCATCTCACAAGTGCGAGACCGATGAGCTTAAAAAGACCAGTGCAGCCAAAAAGAGTAGAGGCCAGTGCTCCACGAAAATGTGGATGCCAATGCACTTGAGAAAAGCCAGGGATGAAATGAAGACATTAAGAAGCCTAAGCATCTGTAACAACCAAATAATGACAACAACGAATCAGATAATTAGACAAGAAAAGAATAACAAACTCGAGTTCCAAATTTTTGTTTAGAGGAACTCCGCTGCTAAGCATGCCTCACAGAATAGTATGATTACATATATCATCTTATAAAATAGATTTTAGTTTTAATTAAATCTCAATTGATTTATAACATGAACCTTGCCCTCCTCACTTATATAAGTTATTATATGTTATTAACTCATGCATATCTCTAGACCGGATTTAATTACCAACAGACATAATCAACGTCAAGATTATCTTATTTACGATGTTACTATTTATTATACATTCTTGTCCTCACTGGCTACATGTTACACCTGTGCAGAAAGGGAACATATACGGATAACCAGTACATCCATCCACTCTCTCTCGAGTGTGAAACTATACAATTCGGTGGTGATATTAAGAAGTCTAAACATATATATCACTCCTTCAGGCTTTACACCACAACAATTCAAGTACATAAACAAAACACCAAAAAGACCATTCACTGTGAAATTCCAGCTGCCACAGGGCGGCTGACAGATGTTTGGTTTGATTTTTTGCGATCAAGAGAGGTGGTTTTCTTACACTGCAATGAATCCACTTTTTTTCTCTTGTTTGAAGCTCCATCTTGAACGTATTTCAAAAGTTCCCCTCTCCTTGAACCAGTCTTGTTCAGATATTTCACAGCTTCTTGTCGTTCAGGATCCTTGTTACACTGATTGAGTGGTCTTCTACGGCTCTGCTTACTCTCCTTCGATTTATCACGTGAGACACGAAATTTATCTGACAAATCCAACTCAAAC